AGCTGCTGGGCTAATCATGAGGCTCACCTGGAAACCTGGAGGGAAGGCCTATTTAAGGAGCGGTTCTCCCTCCCGGTGCTGGCTTTAGCAGCAAAAGCTTTTGGCTGTGCCTTGTTGCTCCTGAGGGCCAGTGTTCCTGCCTTGGTCCTTGCTTGCTTCTGCTGGTCTTCTGCCTCTCAGTGCCTTGTTCCAGCTCTGTGCCCCCAGCCTGGTGCTCCCACCTCTGCTTGGTCGCAGCCAACTGCCTGGTGAGTGTCTTTGGACTCAATATCATGTGTGGTGGATTGGGTTTGGGTGCCCTTGCCCCTGGTGAGGGATGGACTGAATATTGCTTAGTAGGTTTTCAGAGGTGGGCATGAGCTGCTGGATGGGTGGTTTGTGCTGGTTTGTACTTTGGCTGAACAGGTGTTTGGCGCTTCTCTGCCCTGCCTCCTCTAGCAGACGCCCCCCTGGAGGCAGTGCCTGGGGGAGGCAGGACAAAGAAGCCAAGGTGTTGTCTCTGAGTGGGTGTCTGCAAGAGGAGGCAGGGCTGGGAAGTGCCAAAACCTGTTCAACCAAGGTATGAACAAACCACTATTTTGGAGGTTCATGCCCGTCCCTATTCTAATGAGTAACCACAAGGGTCATTTTGCAAACGTTGTAATGCATCCACTCCTTCAAATGCACACGCATGCCAACCAAATGACTTTCAAAGTTCCGTAATGGCAACACCTTGACTCTGGAGGCATAACTTTCTGCTGGCTCTAGAGCTTGTGCGTTTTGTATACTACAACTTAAGACTATGCTTTTTACAGATTCTGGAGGATGACTTCTAAAAATAGCAAGGTTTCTATATTCTGGTTGATGCTTGAGTTGTCCCATCCATCCTCAGTGTTGTATTAATGCAACGCAGGGCAAGAGGTTGTTGGCTTATCTTCAGGTTCTGTTGTTGTTGTTATGCGCTATCAATTCACCTCTGATTTAAGGTGACCCTATGACTGTGCTATCTCGCAAACATCCTGTCCTCAACATCCTTGCTCAGCTTTTGCAGACTGAAGCTTGTGGCTTCCTTTAGGGCAGGGATTCCTAACCTTGTGTCTTCAGATGTTCTTGGACTTTGGCTGAACAGGTGTTTGGTGCTTCTCTTCCCTGCCTCCTCTGGCAGACGCCCACCTGGAGGCAGTGCCTGGAGGAGGCAGGACAAAGAAGTCAAGGTGTTGTCTGCCTTTAGGGCAGGGATTCCTAACCTTGTGTCTCCAGATGTTCTTGGACTACAACCCCCAGAAATCCTGACCAGCACAGCTAGTGATGAAGGCTTCTGGGAGTTTTAGTCCAGGAACATCTGGGGACCCAAGATTGGGAATCACTGTTTTAAGGAGCCACCCACCTTCTTTTTCTCTTGTGTCTAAAACTGAGTTAGCAAAGGCTTTGTGGGGACTAGGGGAGAAAAATGTTCTTCTCATGATCTCTTATCGATCCTCTCATTGTGGATAAAGGTAAAGGTTCCCCTTCACAATTTTTGTCCAGTCGTGTCCGACTCTAAGGGGCGGCGCTCATCCCGCTCTTCAAGCCATAGAGCCAGCGTTTGTCCGAAGACAATCTTTCCGTGGTCACATGGCCAGTGTGATTTAGATACGGAACGCTGTTTACCTTCCCACCGAGATGGTCCCTATTTATCTACTTGCATTTGCATGCTTTCGAACCGCTAGGTTGGCGGGAGCTGGGACAAGCGACGGGCGCTCACTCCGTCGCGTGGATTCGATCTTACGACTGCTGGTCTTCTGACCCTGCAGCACAGGCTTCTGCGGTTTAGCCCAGAGCGCCACCACATCCCTCATTGTGGATACGAGGGATCAATCCTGAGATGTCCCCCACAAAAAGCATCTCTCCTTCACTGAGGTTCACTCACCATCTCCGGAACAAAGTTGCAACTTAAGACTTCCTGGCTTTAAAATCGGCTGTTCTCATCTGGACAGCTGAAGTATTAAACCTGAAGGTTTATGGATGTGGTGTGCAGCGTAATTATTCTCAACAGGGAACCCTGCAGCAATATTTAGGACAAAAACTGCAGAAAACACGGCGGTTCATTCTTCTGCTCCGCCAACATTGTGCAGGTAACCTTCCTGAAATGCGACATTTCATAGCCCACACTAGTTTTAAAAACCAGTCACCAGCTTGGATAGCTAGAGGCTATTTTTGGGGGAACAGAACACATAGTTCTCCTAAATATTACATAGCTCGTTTGGGAGAGACACATATGGCAGAAAGTGGAATTGTTCTTTTTCCGAGGAATTAAAGACAAAGTGGCAAGTGCCGACTGGACTTTATCTCTGCGTCGCTAGATGGCACCCTTACGTTGGCGATGGAAGACTACTTCCCATATCAAACAGCTGGCAAGGCAATTTTCAGGAGAAATTGATTCCCCCCCTCCCCTCATCCTTTCCACCCTCCTAACTTTCCAGATCTCTGTACCTATCAGATGGAGAAATCTCTTAGGATTTTGCTGGTGGGTGAAACTGCAGGGGAAATGCATGAACTGGGGAGAAGGAACAGCCTCTACACACATACACACCTTGACCCATCACTCTTCCTTGCTAGCCTTTTTTCCTGCCTCTTCCCTACCCCCCTTTGCTGCTGGTAAGCACATCCATCATCCCTGATGCATGTTTTGGGCCACTAGATGTGACATTTGGGATGCTGCGTTAACCCGTTTAAGCTGCTTTGAATGGTGAATCTGAAAAGACATTCATCCTGCGGTGTTTGAGGAGGTGGGGAGGTTTTTCGGCCAGGTGTGGACCTGACACCACAATCTAATGCACAGCATGGGGCAGAAGCACTCCTATGTTAAGATTGTAGGGATGAGTAAGGAGTAAATCCCTATGTAAGAAAGTTCTGGGTTGTGAGGCCTGGGGAAAAGACCTCTCGGGAGTTGAAATGTGAAGATCTTTTTTGCCTGGCTTTCCTTCCGCCTACTTTTTCTTCTTGCTTCGTTGAAGACTTTGAGACTTTTTGCCTCCTGGTCGGAAAGCCACAAGCATTTAAAAGCATCTTTTCCCTTAATCATTCGTATCTGCTAAGACTTGGAGGCCTTCAAGGGAAGATTGGACCACACTCTGCTTCATTCTTTGCACTCTTGATTTGGATTCCTGCCTTGAGCAGGAGTTGGACTTGATGGCCTACATCCAACCTCATTATTCTATGATTCCCCAACTTTTTGCAACTTACACTTAATGTGCCATTAAGCTGCTTGTGATGGCCTTATAAGGCTATGTCCAACCTCATTATTCTATGATTCCTAACTTCTTGCACACTTACACTTAATGTGCCATTAAGCTGCTTCAAGATGACGACCCTCACCGTATTTCTGAGATGTGTGGGATACTCAAGAAGTGGTTTGCCATCACCGTTCCAGAGTGAATTTCCATGTCCAAGGCAGGATTTGAACCCAGGTCTCCTGAATCCTAGCCTTGCACACTATCCACTCACCACAGCACGCTAGTTCTGGTTGGCTTACCTTAAAACTCACTTCTGAGCGAATAGGGCATTGATCCAAAATAGATATGGGGCATGCACAGTCCTCCAGTTGGTCTTGCACTACAACTCCCATCAGCCTTACCATTTCATAGGATGGCAAGAGCAGATTGCATTTACAGTGCCACCCATTCCTGCCGCAAAAAGGTACCATCTTGTTTTTTGCTTACTTACCCGGATTCTGACGGAACTCCTACTTTGAGGGTTTGTTGGTAGGCCTGCTTGTTTAAATCGAATCAATGAATGAATAAATAAACACATCAGGTAACCAGTAGTACTCAAGTTTTAAGAAGAAACACCTTCATAAGTGGCAGGGCAGTTCTACGGATAACCAATCCGAAGGTGCTATTATGAACTGGCAAAGATGACAGGTGGATCCGCAGAACGAGGAAGCACTTAATCCAACTTTTATTCAGGTTGCTGTTGAATGACTCAGCAGAGCCGTTATATTGTGTCACGTACACTCTGGAATCCTGATAATCCTTCGGCTTTCTCTCTTGGAAGGATGCAAAGAAT